CGATCGCACCACAGCACTAGGACTGTGACACACCTAGTTTCGGCAAGCCGCACGTCACGCAAAATGCTAACATAAAAATGCCCGTACGTGGCATGTCAACCCATCTGTCCTCATGGCCTGTGTCTAGACAACGTACTAACCTCAGGTGCGGGTAGCTTTTCTCGTCGCACTGGACGAAGCCGAAACCCCTTTAACAGTTCAGCCCGGGAAACACCCACATCATAGAAACACGGCCGAGCAAAGTTGGGGAGGATGGGTCTCATTGGCAGCCTGTCATGATGTACCGTACCGCGCGCCACCCGTCTGTGATGCCTCCAAACCAACATTTCGCAGATGCCTCCCCCTCGCTCCCCGCCTTTGTCCAAGGATACCGTGTCTGTATCAGTCAGATGTCCACCAGTCATGCGTGCTGTGTAGCCACGCCGACAAGTCTTCGTGAGCGGCCCCCCCGTCGCTGCTGCTGCTCTTGTCGTCGTCGCCAGCGTCTACCGCATCCGCCACCGCCGCCACCTCTACCCCGCCGGTGTTGCCGTCAGAAGATGCAGCAGAGGCACGGACAGCCGCGTCAAATCCTGGCGCTTCTTTCCCGCCACCCTGCTGCATCAACCTGGCGAGAGTGGAAGAGGTACGGGGAAGGCCCAGCGGTGAAGGAGAAACCACGCCGAGGTCTCTCGTTGTTCTCTCCACGCCGCAGGTGGCTGCCCTCTTCTGGCCAGCAGCGGTTGTGGCAGCGCTGGTGACGTTGACGGTAGCGTGCCCGACACGGACGCGCCTCAGCCGTCGCGTAAACGGGGCTGCTGCTGATGACGATGATACTGTGTCCATGCCAGCCAACGTTCCTTCGGCTGGTAGCACTGAAGGTGTTCGGGCGGTCCTAGGGGACAAGAAAAATAGTTTTTGAAAGCAGTACTGTAACGAGTTGTTGTGTTCCTCTTTGCACAGACATGTGTCTCTACGAAATAGCGCCTAAATTTTCACACGCAGAAACACACAGGTTTCAGGAATCCTTTGCTTTGTAAAAGGGGGCCCACAGACATAGACGCCGGCGGCCTCTCTACCTCGCAAGCAATACGGGCACGGAAAACAGCGGAAAGAACCATACATGTACAGATTGCTTGCTGCCGCAACGATTACAGTACATAATTTATTATAGACCTCTCTCACCGGGAAAACGATGCCCCCGCCGAGATGGAGCCGCTCCTGCGCTTTCTCGACCGTAAATGCTCGACGCCTCCCATGCCAGCACCAGGCGGCACCCCGCGAGACCTCGTAGTTCTAACGTGTCCGGTGCAAGCGCCCACGCCAGCCCTCACAACGCCGCCGTCCGGGTTTCCCATGACGAGAGCTGACACCGGACACAGCGTCTGAGAAGAGCCGTCCGTCTGACTGCCGAAGCTATCTCGCCGCCATGTGCACCCATGCGGCGTCCTTGGTGCGTCAGCCTGATTCCAACCGCCACTGCTGCTGCCACTAGCGGCAGCAGCAGCATCGGGGGAAGCGACCCCTAGACTGCTAACCCCGTCGGCCAAGGAATCCATGTGGCCAGCACTGAGGACTCGCTGGACCCTCAGCCTGTGGTGCCTGGGCTTCTTCGCGCTGCGCCCCGTCTCGTGACTGTCGCTGCCGAATCGCCCTTGCACGTACCCCCGCTGCTCTTGTTCTTCCTGCTGCTGCTGCTGCTGCTGCTGCTGCTGATGCTGATGCCGGTAGTTCGTGGCAGCGGTGCCCCCGGACGCCCATTGTACCTGCTGTGAAACCATCACCTCTTCTTGTCGCGTTGGGTCCATCGCCACGTCTCCGCCCCAAGAGCTTGATCGTGTGTTGCCGTCCGCGGGCCTACATCCCCTCCGCGTTCTCTCGCCCGCGGCGGGCAGCGGCGAATGTTCCATGCCCGTTCTCCCGGCAGCCTCAGCGAATGTCCTCGACGTCCGTGGTCTTGCGTCAAGCGAAGGTTGTGGCGTTCTTGCAGTCTGCCGCGTCGCACCGGCGACGGCGAACTGTTCGAGTCCGGGCAGGCACCGGCGTCGAGACGAACCTGAAGGGGTTTTCGTCCAATCCATGCGCTTCTCTCCCCCTTCATATCTCCTCCCGCCGATGATGCTGCTCTGCCCGGCTTCGGGTCGGAAGCGCTTGACGCCAACACTGCTGTCGTCGGAGTTTCGGTCGGCTGGACCTTCCCAGAGCTCATCGTGTGGAAGCAGCATCGTCGTACCTGTTGTGCCTCCGTTGACACCACCGTGGCTATTACCGTCACCGGCGGCGGCCGGCTCGGGCGGAAACACGACCGCGGTCGCACCGTACTCTGCCCCTCCTGCGAGTGGTTCCCAAGCGAAACGGACCCAGTTGTTTGCCGGCATGCTGTCGCCGACAAACCGCGACCCGGGTGGGGTGTGGAAGCCGTCCTGTCCCGCCCAAGCAGCAGCAGCGGCAGGAGTGGCAGCACCGCGTGCCGCCGGCATACCTGTAGCAGCAGGCCAGCTGGTACCAAATATATGTCCGTGACGATGCTCCTCGTTGACCTGCCGTGTCCCTCTCGCTCGTGATGTCGACGGCCGTGGAGCTAGCTCGTTGGCCGCGAAAGCCGAGGCATTGCCGTATGGACCGGGCAACAAGTGTACCGCGTTCACCCCTCTGGTCGAGCGGCGCTGCTGTGGGCACGGCTGCCTCCCTCCTTCAGCAGAGAGCTCTTCTGCTACTGTTGTGGCGTGGTCGAAGACAGCCTCGGGAGAGGATGGTGCGTCGGTGCTGGTGGTGTTGTTCATGAAGCCGATTGACATCCTGATCTCCGTGCGAGAGGGCAAACGCTCCGCCATTCTTCCGCGAAAGGGCGATCTGTCTGATGTCGCCGGTCGTCACCAGGCGATGGGATAACTGCTGTTGTCTCTACATCACCTACAAGGTCCGAGGCTTGGAAGCTGCTGCTGCCACTGACATGGCGGTGTGGCGCATTTGCTCACGAGGAACGTCCCGGTGGTAAGCACCTTTTCCACCGAATAGCTTCTGTGCACATGATGACCCCTCATCTCGAAATGAAACGGCTCATGATGTATACATGTATGTGTATCATGATCCGGCGCGCAGGGGGGGGTCAGAGAAAGGGACTGAACCCGTCAAAGAGAGGGGGGGTACCAAAAGAATTGGCGGAGCCTCTCGGCTTGGCACTTGTGATCTCCTCTGTGATCTGGTAGTCTACGCAGCTGCTTGCTGCTGTGCAGTGCACATCCCACCCAGCCAGACGCAAAGGATCATGGAGGTGCGATGGAGACTGTTCGCTCGAGACGTGCTCTCCCTACTCCCCGACGACTCAGGCGAGTTTCGTTTCGGCAGACCACTTCGGCCCGTTCGAGGCTTGAGACTGCTCGGCATCGTCGTGCACAGAGCGAGAGCAGATAGTAGTCGGCTGCGATCTGCGGGCAGCGGCAGCTCGGGAGGGAAGAAGCGGGCGAGAGGGGGAAGTGGTTATGGCGGTGGTGGTGAACGTGCCAGCGACGACAGTGCAATGGATGGGGAGTTCGGCCTGCTAGGAATTGGTAAGTGGGGTTGAATATTCAGCCAGTCTATGTACATCTTGCCACGGGTGCATACAGCGGTAATTGAGTTACCGCGAGGGACGCCTTGAGTCTTTCGTTCACCGACGCGAATCACGGCAGCTCTGCTGCTGTACGCCGTATCGCACCCATCACTGGTGGTATCTGCGAACGTCAGAGCACACACATGTTGCATCTTCAGTAAACGAGGATGTCACTTATCTCAAAACATCCCAGGAATTGAAATTTGAAATTTGACATGTTTTCGTCGGACCATCTGGTGCCGGCACTGCATTTGGCTCTCTCTTGGCTGGCTCTCTCATGGACATGGGCTGGGGACTCTTGTATGTACCTAGAAACGTGCTGCTGAATACCCCCCCCCCCCCCCCCCGTAGGGTGGATTTGTCGAAATGCCCCAAGCTCTCAAAATCTCCAGCACGGTTGGATACTGCGTTGGAAGCATAAACGCGTCGTGCAGATTCTACCACACGAAAAAATCGTGCTCTGAGGCCATTTCTTGCGGTTGTCTTTTTTTATGATCTTTTTCTTTTTTCCTTCTCAAAAAAAGACAACTGGCCGCAGAAGGTCTTCTTACAATGTCTTTTTTCCTCAAAAAAAGATCGCCAGAAAAAGACAACCCGTTTTGGACAGCCCATCCTGTCTTTTTTTGGGGCAGTTTTGGACAAGTGGAGGCTGTCCAAAACTGTTGTCTTTTTTTGGTCACAACCACATCACTCGTACCTAGAAACTTGAATCTCTCGACGGCCCACCGCAAACTCTAACGGTGGTCACACGAGTTGTGTCATGTTGCTGGCTGGTACAGAGTCGGTGGCACCGGCGGTAGCCAATGTTTTTTCAGTGGGCTGGACCAAGTGGACAACCCGATGTGTGCGGCAAACAAGAGGCAAACAAACCGAGAGAGCCTGGACGCAGCAGCGGTGGGTCATTTTTCGTGTACGGTCAACCTTGCGAACCCAACTTTTGGGCGTCCTATAGCCTCCTGGTCTGTATCAATCATCACACAAAACGAACCATACGCACAGCTCGTGGCGCATGCCTTTATCATCGCTGTTGCTTGAGTGGGTGGCGAGGGAGTACTGGCAAACCAAAGTTGCGACACGGGCAAAAGAGCGAAAAAAGTTGCTTGAAGATGCGGCGGATCATTTTTCCCGCTTGTCCACCACTCTCGCGCTCACAATTTCTGAACGTCCTATAGCCTCCTGGTCTGTGTCAGCCACCACACAAGACGGACCATACACACAGCTCGTGGCGCATACCTTTGTCATCGCTGTTGCTAGAGTGGGTGGCGAGGGAGTACCGGTAAACCAAAGTTTTGACAGGGGCACAAGAGCAAAAAAAATGGTTGCTGGCGCGGTGGGCATTTTTTCAGCGTGCTGTCGACTCTCGGCACCTCCATTCCCGTGCCTCCTATCGCCCTGTGGTCTCTGTCAGCCGCCACCCAAGACGGACCATACACATAGCTCGCGAGGGATAGCTTTACAGTAGGCGCTGCTTCACTCTGTGAGGAGATATCACCGAAAAACCATTTCGGTGGGAAGGTGCATGTATGTGTGACAGCAGCTGCTGCAGAGTCTGTTTTTTTTTTGGTCGGTGAAAAAGGATCGACCAACACCGTAAGAAGGGGGTCATCGTTTTTGTAGATCCCTTTCTGGGTTGTCCGAAAGGGGGGAAAAAAGATCTGCGAAAAAAGAACCGCAAGAAATGGCCTGAGGCCACTTGTTAAGCTGTCCTTTTTTGGGCTGTCCCTTTTCTCAAAAAGGGACGAACCAAAAAAGAATCTAGCAAAAAGATGACCCACTTGTTACGGTGCTGGTCGATCCTTTTTGCTCATCCGCCAAAAAAATGACCCTGCAACAACAAGTGCAACGGCCGTTCGTCACACAATGAGTACCTTGGCACCGAGTTGGTTTTTCGGTGATATCTCCGCACAGAGCGAAGCATCAGCAACTGTAAAGCTATCCCCCGCGAGCTGGGTGCTTGGTCCGCCTTGTGTGGCGGCTGATCGAGACCACAGGGCAGTGGGAGGCACGGCAACTGAGGTGGCGAGAGTCAACAGCACCTTGAAAAACCCCACCGCGCCAACAACCAGCTTTGTTTGCTCTTTTTTGCCCATGCCGCAACTTTGGTTCATGGATGCTCCCTCGCCACACACTGAAACAACAGCGATGACAAAGGTATCCGCCACGAGCTATGTGTATGGTCCGTCTTGTGTGGTGGTTGATACAGACCAGAAGGCTGACGGGCGATCAGAGGTTGTGAGCCCGAGAGTGGTGGACAAGCGGGAAAAATGACCCGCCGCGTCTCCAAGCATATTTTTGTTCTTTTTCCCCGTGTTGCAACTTTGGTTCATCGATGCTCCCTCGTCACACACCGAAGCAACAGCGATGACAAAGGTATCCGCCATGAGCTGTGCGTCTGATTCGTCTTGTGTGGTGATTGATACAGACCAGGACGCTATAGGTCGCCCAGAAGTTGGGTTCGCAAAAGTTGACTGTGCACCAAAAAGACCCACCGCTGCTGCGTCCAGGCTCTTTCGGCTCGTTTGCCGCTTGTTTGCCGCACACATCGGGTTGTCCACCTGGTCAGCCGAATGACAACATTACGTCTATCGCCGAGGCTACTGACTCCGTACCACTCACATGACACGACTCGTGCGAATACCGTTAGAGTTTGCGGGGATCATCCGTCGAGATATTCAAGTTTGTGGGCAAGTGTCATGTGTTGTGACAGAAAAAGGACAACAAAAAAGGACCGTCCCATCCTGTCACAAAGTTGCCCAAAAAGGGACA